GGACATTAATTCGTCTTTATCGTTTTCTCATGGACACTTCATCGTCTTTATTGTGTATTATATTTTCCAAAACGAAAACAAAAAACAAATCAACATTTATTGGACATTAATTCATCTTTATCGTTTTCTCATGGACACTCCATCGTCTTTATTGTGTATTATATTTTCTAAAAATAAAATAAAATCAAAATCAGCATTTATTGAACATTAATTCGTCTTTATCGTTTTCCCATGGACACTCCATTGTCTTTATTGTTTATTATATTTTTCAAAAAGAAAACAAAAAATAAATCAACATTTATTCGTCCTCTCAATCCATGTGTCAAATTGTTACTCGTGCCATATAAAACGCTGCACAATGCAGCGAATTAAGCTCTGCCACGTAATCTCGCTCCACAGTGTAGCGAGATTACGTGGTCTTAAACTTGCTGACATGGTGCCACGTAATCTCGCTACACAGTGTAGCGAGTTAGGTGACGTGGTATTTTGGCAAATTTTTTCCTAGCATGGCAATCTGGTAAACTTTTGCTAAAAAGGTGACAAAATGGTCGTTGTCCCTGGCTTAAGTGTGTAGTCTATGTGATACTATGAACGTAACTTTATTCAAAAAAAAAAAATTGTTACACTTGGCTAAGGTTTGGAGTTGTTCTCTTGATGTCATCTATGTTGAGGGTAGAAATGTGTTTAATTTTTCCCATAAACGACACCAATGTTGGTAGAAATGTGTTTAACATATAGGGTGGAATGGAGGGTTGATGATGATTATCTTTGGTTTGTATATGCCTCGAAACTTCTTCACAAATATTCATTACAACAATTGATTAGACGGAATTGTGTATTTGCAAGGAACTCTTACGATCAAGTAAACAATAGACAAGAAAGTGGAGCAATTATGATAAACTATCGTACTTAAAAGGGTAGCCTTGCATTTATATAAGTTTTTAATTAAATAGCCTTACATAGTATAAACGACACATGCATCCATCATGTGTCGTGGTTACACATAATTATCTTCATACTTACGAACGATCATTATAATATCCCTAACTTAAGAATTTAATTAATTACCTGTAATTAAGTATATATAAGTGGGTGGAATTAAGTAAGAGGTTAAAATTAATGAGTTAAGACTTCTTTTGAGGTAAAAAGTGCAGTCAGTGAGATTTTTGGGGTAAAAATATGTGTAAGCAAAATTACCCAAAAGATAAAAGTAAAGCTAGAAGTATGACTGAAAAGATATTCTAGTTCATTTGGTAAAGTTTGGTAGTAAATGGAGGTGAATAGATAGATAAGTTTTTATCCAGTTAAAATAACTTAACCTAAGTTAAGTGTAAAAACTAAAGAAACATTCCCATTTTCCTTTTTCTTCGTCGATGCAGCCAAGGGAGAGAAAAAAGAGGGAGACGCCATTGAAGGGAGCTCAAACCCTAGCTCCTTCGTTCCTCCACCAAATCGATCTGTTCCAAAGCCTAAAGTGTGTCAAATTTCATCCTCTACAAAACTCATAGCTTGGTTCTAGTTAGGGGTCACTGTATTGAGAGATGTCTCACCCTCTCCATTTCAAAAATTTGAGAGAGTTGGAGTTTTGAGGGTTTTTGAGTGCATTGGAGCTTGGGATTTTCTTCCTCTTGTACTCTAAGGTCATCCATAGTAAGTTTTCAACCCTTTTCACACTTTTCCTTGATTTTTTATGAATCTAGGTTTTGGATGAATAGTGACCACAAAATTCATCTATGGTGGGATGGATTTTGATGTGTTAGTATGTTGTTTTATGTGTAGTTATGAACAAGTTGACCCTTGAGTAAAGGAAAGGCCATTGGAGCAAAATCCTAGTTTTGGTTTCAAGGGTTATCTTGATAATGATTGGAGATTGTTTGTGGTTTCGAGGAAAGGAAAGCGCAGAACGAAAGTTCAAGTGTAAGGTAAACCTCCAGACCTTGAAGTCGATCCCTTCGAATGTTCCACCATACTTTGTCGAGGAGGAATGGTTTATGAGATGTAATATGTAATGATGATAATAATTGTATGCTCATGCATTGATAAATATTATGATTTCTTAATGATCATTAATTGATGTTTGATTGTTTAAAAGTAATTGAGGAATGGTTGATAGATGTAAAAATAATGAATGAGGTAATGGTTGAGGATTCAGATTGAGGTTATGTTGATAGTTGAGAGATGAGGTAGTGACTGATAAATGAGAAAGAATTGAATAGTCCTTGGATCAGTCCAATGAATGTAACTAGTATGATGGATGCGTGGTCTTCCTTGGAGCCAACCCTAAGGGGAACTCCTTGTGGTTATTACCTGAGAGGAACAACCTTTGAGGATCCCTCTTGAAGCCATAATGCCAGTAAGGATTTTCCCTGGAAACAGCCATATGAGGATCTTCAGGTGGTTTGTTTTACCTTTGGAAATAGCCCTGTGTGGATCTCCTTGTGGTAAGAGCCTACGAGAGACAATCCTGTTGCGGATTCCTCTTGGAAGTGCCTATTATTATGATGAGGATGATTGGTAAGGACTTTCCTTGAAGATAACCCTATGTGGATCTCCATGTGGTAAGAGCCTAAGAGAAACAACCCTTGAGGATCTCTCTTGGAAGCCCCTAGTGTGAGATTATGGACTTCCCTTAGAAATAGCCCTATGTAGATCTCTTTTTGGTGACTGGTGAACACCTAAGAGAAATAGCCCTTTGAGGATCTCTCTTGGAAGTCCATGTGATGTTTATAGATAAGAATGTGTTAAGCTGTTATGATAATATGTACACCAGAAGTAAACCTTAGAGTGGAGTGATCTCCAAGGACCCGTGGTTTACTATGATATATTTGTATATCTCACCCCATGTTGTGGGGCATCATTTTAGGTACTAATAGAGGTGAGGTTGAATGAGGCAAGAAGCATGAGTAGATTGTACCTGATAACTAGATATTTTGAGTTGCAGGTCATCTAGGATTGTTAGATGTATATGTCAGTTACATTGTCACATATTCATGTGTATTTTGAGGCCATATGATGTATTTTGGAGGACTTAATGCATGATCATTGTAATGGTAATTGTCATGTTGTTTATGGGCAATGGCTTTGATCATGTCTCTTTGGTAGCTAAGTTCTTTGGCATGTAATTATTTTGAAGAGCATAGTTGTCATTGAGATATTGATACATTGATGAATGTGAAGTTGTTTTATCAATTTGAATTGTATGATGGATTGATTAAATGTATGTGGAATGTGAGAGCTTCGTGGTGTGTGACCATGGTAGGAAATCCTTCATCAATTAGGTACCAATAAGTTGGAGAAAGGAGGGAGGATCTCCTTCAAGTGAACCACCAAAAACAGGGGAGATCAAGTCTGCCCCAGGTGGAGTGCACTCAAGCGCTGATAAGAGCATTCAACCGCGTTATGTGCGTGAAATAGAGAAAAAATCTCTGCCTTTGGGCGCTCAAGCGCGCTGAAGATGGCCAAATTTTCTGCATCTGGGCGCTCAAGCGCGCTTCTCAAAAATAATATGAACATAGTTTGGTAAAATTGACATAACTCGAGTTACAGAGCTCTTAATTGAGCGCGGTTTGAACCCACACGAAGCCAACAAAGAGATCTATAATATGGTAGGAGATGAGAACCATAAAAGAAGTAGAGAATTCCCAATTTAATAAAAAGGGAATATAGTTTAGTATTGAACTTGAACAAAATAAGAATATGATGTTAAACTTAGTTTCATTTATTCCGCAATGTCGTATGGTATGGTCACTCAATTGGTTATTTTAAATTTAGTGTTGTTCAAAAGAAAATTAAGCACGGTTATAAATGAATAATATTTAAAAGAAAAAGTTTATCCATATTTACAATTAAACCATTGTGATTGTAACTGCGCTTAATATCATAAAAGCAATGATAATAAACCAATTCTAAGATGGGATGTCACAATCATCATTATTCTTGTTTCTATGAAGGAATATAACATACAGAAATGTTGGTTAGGTTAATAAAAGTTTAGATGATGGAAAAAATTTGTTCATGGAAATCATGAGACAACAAGTGACTGTTATGTGAAGAATTTTGTATGTGAAACTAACATTTTTCCATAATATTATATTAAATCGTTGATAAACTCCTACGAGTTAAATAATTAATTTCTTGTGGTGAATACAGAGTGAAGAGCATAAAAATAATTGTTCGCCAACTTATTATTATAAACATATCTCAAGATGTTATGTATATCCGACCATTCTAAATAATTGATGAAACGTTATCATAACTATGTCATTATTATCAATCTCATTTTTCTTAATCTATATGTGTTTTAGTTTTCTTTCATCAATCTTCATGATTTCAATACCCTAGTTATTTCGAGGATCTAAGATCATTAGTGGAATCAGAATTGTTCCACCTGCAAGTTTATGAGCTTAAATAGATTTTTTTTTTTTTTTCCATTTTTGCAATCATCTCTAGCAACTAGAATTAGAAAATCTAATTTTGTGTTTATATCTAGATATTCACACATGTTGATATAACTCCACCTATTTAATACTTACAAGGATACAAATACATACAAAATTTAATATGATAAGGTCACATAAATTCAGAGGAGATAATTCCTTACGAAGGACCAATAAGAGAAGGGTGGAAGACTACCAAATAGCAATCTACCAATGACATTGCCCACTGTTTTGTTGTTTTCTTTATGGTAAAAAGTTTTGTAATGGACATGTTGTGTCATTTCAGCAGTTATAACTATATATTACGAGTAATACATTGTTATAATATTAAAGTTATATTTTATTTTCTCTCTTCAAAAGCTGTCTGCTGACGTGAAAAGTGAAAAAAAATACAATTTTAATATTATAATTATATATTATCCGTAGTACATAATTATAACGGCTAAAAGGACACCACATTGTGTCCTTTAAAAGGACACACACTAAAGCCTTTATTTATTTGTTTTATTCTAACCTTATTTTAAGTTTTTAAAAACCCATACCAACATAAAATCAATTATGGAAATAATGGAAGGGACATATACGCATTACATGAAAAAATGTGCAATATTATGAGACACGGTCATATATAACATTCTAAAAACTCAAGAAGGTATTAAAGAGTAAAACAATTGTTTGATAATAAACGTTTATACATTCTCAGGGGATGATTGAATTTGAAGGTCCTCTCAAGTAGGTGGCAGAAATGGCATCATGCCCAAAGCAGTGTGATGACCAAAAATACAATGAGGGCCAATCCAACACAGAATCCCACTATTGCCATGAAAGCCTGGAGATTGTCAAATTAAATAACTGAGAACAAACAATGAAATGGACAAAATTAAAAAAGAAAAGCCACTCCACATGAAATCCCAAATTGCGAGGATAGGAAAGAGGAAAATCCTAATATGCACAGCCTTATCCTCGTATTTTTGAAAAGAGACTATTTTCTGGATTTGATCACGTGACCTCTTAGTCTCAGAAGAGCAACTCTATCACTACTCCAAACATGCTCTCTCTTTTGAAAAGGACAAAATTAACAAAAAAATAAAAATTACCTTCCCTTGTGATTGAAACTTAAACTTATTAGTAAACCAGGACAATCCTCTGTCAACAAAAGGTGCCAGTGCCAATGCTCTGCATAAGTAACTCCACTGTTTGAGATGGTTTTCATTGTACTAACCTCAGAAATTGATGTATTGTAAATTACAAAAGGGCTTTGCCTAATTGTACATGTCCAGACAGAAGCAAACAACAACCATAACAAATTAACAATGACAGCACCCATACTGATACGGGACACGTGACACGATACGACACGACACTTCAACACGTTAAATCTAAAAAATGTTAAATTTTGACACATTAGGATACGTTTTGATATTAAATAATATTTTTAATTTATGTAGTGTATATTATATTTAACAGTGTTATTAAACCCGACCCGGTCGGGGTACTGGGTTACTGGGTCACTGGTCGGACCGATTGACCCGGATATATATAGATATATAAAAATATAAACATATAAATTCAATTATATTCTCCATATCTAAAATGAATTAAACAAGGTTCATTAAATAAACTCAAAAACAAGAAGCATAAATAAATAAAAATGAATAGTCAATTTAAATTGTAACTCAGAATCTCTATAAACATACCTCTCAATGACATTAAACTCATATTTTTCAAATTCAACTACATTAAAATGACATATGTCACATTCTCTTAATTTATTATTCCGCAAATTGCTTCAGTTTTAGAAACTAAAATTTGAGGTCATTGTAGAAGAATATACTAACAAATAAAATTACAAAAAGTTTTAAAATGAGTTCTACATTTTTCTTGACAAGATGAAACAATTTTGCTTTTTTTTTTTTTTTTTAATGCATGACCCAACCGGGTCACTGGGTCACCGGGTTTTGCCGGTTTTATCCGGGTTTTGACCAAGATTGACCGGGTCGATGCGTGACCGGTCCAATGCTTAACCCGAACCGGTCCGATGACCGGTTCGCCGGGTTCCGGGTCGACCCGGCCAGGTCGGGCTAGGTTTTACAACTATGATATTTAATATTGAATAATTTAACAAAAATGAAACTAAACTTATAATATTCATCAATTTTGCAAAGAAACATAAGATCTTCCAAATATTTATATTAAACTCAATAAAATGGTAATCGTAATCCAACGAATCTAATAGTTTGAACTAAAAGCTCAACGCAACGCAACCTTTGAACCTTTTTTTGAATTTCTATAACACGTGTTGGAGTGTCGGAGTATCGGAGAGTGTTGGAAAGTGTCGGACATATTACGTCAAGGTTTTTGAAGTGTCGGTGCTTCGTAAATAACAAGGTACAATCTAGGTTAGTACAAAGATAACTTATCCCTCCACATCTATAAACGTGTTAAATTCAACAGCTCTAATCCCAAAGATGCATGGCAATTTATAAAGCTGTCATGATGTTATTCAAACAAAGTTTACAAGCCAAAAGCTAGCTGCCAATCTTACTGCAAAACTTTATCACAAAGTTACAACGCAGAGATGGAATGATAAAGAAACATTATTTCTAACATATTAATAAAACATTTGACGGCAAACCTTAGAGCAATGGTAAGGTTGCCCCTTATGACCGGATGGTCACAAGTTTGAGTATGGGAAACAACATATTTGCAAATATGCAAAGGTAATATTGCATACAATCGATCCTCACCCCTACACTTACAAATTGGGGAGCTTTGTCCACCATAGTTTTCCGTTTTATTAATAAAACATTACTACAATAAACACTTCACAAAATTATAGGTTTACATGGGGCACAAGACAAGAACATATGTACATGCATTACACAGTAAACAATGTGAAAAAGTTAAGGTAGCTCACCCGCCGGCTCTTATGAGTTTAGTGACTTGACTACCAGCCCACACCATAGCCATCACTTTGAGAAATCTATACATCACTATGAAGTTGTTACGCATCATATCAACAAACCATAATGGAGAAACTATTGAGGGAATAACAGTAATATGTTCTTACCTTTCTACAGCTGCAAGATAACCCATCTTTCCAGGTGCTGGAGCAATGTAAAACCTAAAAAAAAAAAGCATATTCCCAGTTCAAGTGATTTTGAAACAATTTCCAAATATCCAAGAAAAATAAATAAAGGGTAGACAAAAAAGCTCCAAGCAACAACTCTTACCAAGAAAACATAGACTTAAAGTAGGAAGAAGAAGGAACTTTCTCAATATAAATATTATAGGCACTCCAAGAAAAGGAAAACAAAAAATGCAAGCAAAGTAAGAGGCACAAATGTTCACATACCACACAAAAAGAAATGTTGTGAGATAGTATGCAGTGTTCAAAAGTCCATAGGAGAGGATTCCAGAAACTCCATATCTCCTCAGTTTCTTCAGGATGCTGACATATTAAACAAATAAGAACAGGCTTTAACTTTTAATTGCAAAGAAATCATTCACAATAGGAGCAAGAAACTTGATTTCCATCCGATTTGCACGCTTACTTAAATACAAAAGATAAGAAAAAATGGTGAGAGAGAGAGCGTGTGATAGTGAGGGGGAGAGTGGGAACCATGAAAGAGTGAAAATGTCGACCATGAAATTTGCCACACATACAATCCAGTGAAGAGCATATCAACTCTACTATTTTTGTGTCCGTGATGGCAAAGCAATTAAGTCAAGCCATTTTAATATTTGGCTTCATGATTGCAGAGTATGAAAAGAAAAAAAATTCTAAATAAAAAAGGTATCAAATGACCAGTTACTTGTCTCACTTTCTTTCAGTCAAGATAATGTGAGAAATAACTAGTTCCATGAATGAAGTTGACCAGACAAAATAATTAGTTTTGAGGTTTTAGAACATCCTGGTCAGTATAGTTTAGAATCGATTGCACTTCACAAACTTCTTCCATCATAAGTAAGAGGCAAGGCAAAGCAGAAAATAACACATACATGAACACACCATCATCTTCAGATAAAACAATTTTTGTAGTCTATAGCAATTGATGAAAATACATTACAGGGTAAGTCGTACATACTCACTGCTTGTCATTGACTCTCCTTTCTTACCCTCTTCGCTTTCTGCTGAATGTAAAAATATCTTGTAGTTGTTAATTACATACTTAAAACATCAATTTAAGAGCTAGACAACACCAAGGATCAATTTATATCCATAAATAAAGATAATTATATACATGACTATTTTTTCCCTTATCAGTGTAATTAACTCTAACTTTCTACGAACATTCAATCAGGTTCCTAAAATGGAAATTTGGTGCTCGGAGATGGTAGTTTCCTCTCATAAATCTAATCTTAAGAGTATTCAAAACTTTTATCAAGAGACAAATCAAAATTGGGCCTTTGTCAATAAAACTTTAGAGAAAAAATTGTGTAGAAGTTAGTTTGAGGGAAATGGGTTGTTCTATGATTAGAAAAATGCACCATGAAAATATATATATATATATATATATATATATATATATATATATATATATATGTGCATTAATATTGATTTTTATTTTAAGGAAAATAGAAACCATGGGGCGTTTGTCCTAGGTTGAAAGCACAGTACCAGCAGAAATTCTACATTTTTTCACAAAATAACAGCGAGCAATCAACAGGTGGGTTACAATATTTATTAACTCATGGAGGGATTCACAGCACAACCACTGATGAAAGCATGTTGCAACTTCTACATATTGATCAAAAGTGAATGACCAAATTGAAAATTGGACCCTCAATAATTTGAGCGCCCAGTAATGTCCTCTATTTAAAACAATAATTAGAAACTTGGAACAACTTGTTAAGAACCTTGAGGTCACCACCCCAAAAGCTAGCTCAAAGAGTGGGAGTGCCCAAGACCTTATAAAGGTCATATTAGTTGCCCATCTAATCAATGTGGGACTATATATCTCAACACGCCCCCTCACGCAAGAGCCCTTTTAGGCTAGAAGCGTGGAAATTGCACAGGCCCATTTTTTGTTTACCTTTTTTGTGCTTTTTTTATTTATTTTAATTCCACTTTTTAAAGCGGGGGACGGTGAAGCTCTGATACCATGTTAAGAACCTTGAGGTCATATATAGTCCCACATTGATTAGATGGGCAACTAATATGACCTTTATAAGGTCTTGGGCACTCCCACTCTTTGAGCTAGCTTTTGGGGTGGTGACCTCAAGGTTCTTAACACAACTTGAATAAACAGATCATAATTACTGCATACTTATAGAAAATATATTAATTATATACCTTCATGGCTGCATGCATCTGATAGCTCAGGTGTCTGACCTTACACCAATAAGAGATAAGACAAAAATCCAATCAATAAAAGTATAAGCATACAAAGGGAAAGTACAAACGTAGACATGATGAATTATATTAGTATTGTGGAAGAAAATGTCAAAAATTGAAATTAAAAACAATAAATATCACAAATATTTTGTTTGAGAATAAAATGTCAATTTAGTGTGTGCAAGAATTACTTTCAGGTAGAAATAATGTAATGTGAGAGTTACATTCCACACAGGTAAATATTTTTCAGGTCAAACATAATTTTGACTCCCTAGCAAAACATGCTACTAGAACACACCTTCTAATCTATCCTTATGGCCTTATGAGCCTGCAATTGGGGTTTAACATTACATATATAACTAGCAATTCAAATACAATTGGGGTTTAACTTTAAATTTAAGCAGTGATAGCCCAAATTCACAATAAGAAAAATGGGTAGTTGAGGACATGCATCAAGCATGGCTCTCATTACAGTTCTAGTAGCCATCAACGTGCCTTATTCGTCAATAACACAAGTCAATAGTTGGAAGAATAAGTTATTTGCTGCCTTATAATTGTAGTAAATTTTCCTGATTTTCCTGATATCTTTAGTCAGTACCAAACAATTATGTGATTACCTTCATAGCTAAGTAAGATTTAATTAAGTAACCAGTTTCCAAGGTTTAAGTCCATACAACTTGAGCTTTAAGGGGCTAAACTTTTCTAATATGTAAAAGCTGTGTGCTACTGGGAACATCAAGCAAAGTGGCCAAAGCAGTACACAAATTGTGTAGTTTGGCAATGGATGATTTGAACTTAGAGGACAACATGTTATTTCTAGGTTAGGATCTGCAATTTAGGGAAATACCTCCCATATCTCCCATTTACGGACTGTATATACCATAAATAATCAGGATTTGATTTGTATTATTTTTCTTAATTTCCTAGTTTCCTTATTTTCCTAGTTTTCTAATATTAGAGATTCTAAATCATGCATAAATAGAAGATTATGTTGGGGATTTCCTCAAGCCAAGCAATTCACAAATCCCTCGTGTACAACCATTCTTATTATTATCATTTTCCTGGACCAGAATGTTGGAGATTAAGGGGTAAAAAAGTGGATATTCTGTAATAAAACAGTAGGTACTTAGCTCCTAAAAATTAAAATAATATATTCTTTACATTATTTTCTTTTGGTCATTTGTGTTGATATCTATTTTCATCTTATTATTCTCTGGACCATATAATAGGATCCATTCCCCATTTAAGGTTAGCTTAAACCCCACATCATGGGTTTCAATTAGTTGGCAATAAAGATGAGAAAGTGAAACAGATTACACAATAAAATTAACATTCAGAAAAACACAGACAGCTAAAGACATAAAAACAAACATATATAGATTACTTACATTGTCATTGCTGTAACTTGAGCACAGCCTTTTATGGAGGGTGAGGCACAAATGGGTATAATTCAGCTCATTCAAGTAACAGGGCATGAGAAGGGTCCCACCCCTTTTATGAGACAAACCATGGAAGCCTTCTGACACAAACTTGAGACATACCCAGATTCCAGAAAATGAAAAAGATCATAAATTTGGGATGGAATAAGATAAAAGAGAGTGTAAATGTAACTGATAATTCAAGAACATAAGTAGCGGTAGCAATACCTGTTGCTGGTGGGTATGTGGATGAGAAAAGAGTGTGGAATTACAGTGAAGTGCAAGTTTAACAGGAAAATACATTGATGGGTTCTGCTTCTGATGATGGCACCGTAAGAGAGGTAGAAGCAATTGAAGGAATTGGATGTACAGAGAAAAAAATTAAAAGTGGTATTTCTCCATTCTACTTCTTCTTCTTCTTGTAATTCAATTTATTTAATAAATAAATCATACTTATATCTTAATAAAAATTTATTCAATCAAATAGGTTAAATTGGATTTTTTTTAATAAAATATATTACACATGCTAAGTTAATTAATTAATTTATTATTATAATATAAAATTAAAAATTTATATAATTTATTAATTATAGATTAAAATATTATATATGATAGTTTTGTCTGCCACAAACACAAAATAAAATTATTTTACCAAAATTTGACGTCGAATTCTGATAAATTTAAAAAAATAAAAATAAAATTAATAAGTCTCTATTTTTGTCTCTGAGACAGACATAACCTTTTTGCCTCTGTTGCAGAAAAATGAGACCCTAATTTTATTAAAATTTATACTAATTGAGGAATTAAAATATTTTCAAATTCTTCAGCTAGTTTAAATTATTTTTATATAATATAAGCTTTTAAAAAATCTAGATTTAGAGAAAATATGTCAAAACCGTTATTATTAAAATAGAACCGAACTGACTTGTTCAACCAATGCAAAAACTAGACTCGATTGTACAATTAACCCGGTGAATTGGCTATAAATCGTGGTCCAATGCATCGATTTTTGAATTTTTGCCTAAATATTTTAGTTCTTGCATTCTCCAAGAATTGAATCTGTTCTGTCTTGAAGATCTTGAAGACAGAGATATCTAACTCCATAGGCTAGTAATTTGATCGTGGATTTAGATGCTCTCTCTAAAGTATTTATGAACTAGATATATTTGAGTTTAGCATATCACTGTGCACTAAGAATAAAGAACAATTTTGCCAAAGGAATGGTGTGTGTGTAATGACAACATAACAGTAATCAAGAGAGAGTATCATACCTGTAGATTTTATCTATTATTATAGAGTTTACATGTGGGTGTTAGGATTCTGAACCTTATGTGTCTCTTTTAGCAGCTCATGCCCATGTTTAACACTGTCGTATTAGGATTATGAGTAAAGACCCAAATTGATCCCTGACAAAAAATGCGGTGGCCAAATTAGTCCCTAAGAAAAATAAACTCGTTGAATAGTCTCCAACAATGTGAAACAGGACCCACGTTAGTCCTTCTGTCAATCCAAAAGTGACGGTGTGAATGACGGTGATGATGTGTCACGTTAAATGACATGCTGAAGCCCACGTGTGTTGGAAGAACGACGTTGTTTGTTGAAACCCACCCATATTGGACACACCATTTTTTGTAAAACCCAAATTTGCCCCTCACCTAACTGTTGGACACTTTACCTTTTCCCTCTTTTCTAACATCGACGCTTCATTGTTGAGAAGGAAGGACGAAGACCGTGGAGTAAACCTTGGTGCCTGCGTTTGGAATACTACGAACTTCTTCAAGAATCGGAGGGAACCAGTGGAAGACAAAGACAACTTGGGAGACTTTGTGAGGCTGAGCATACCGTTAAAAAAAGTAAGAGTATTTATATGTTGAAACATTTTTATATTGTTCTTTGTCATCCTTTTGCTTGTGGTCCTCATGTTGTTCCCCTTTGTTTAATGCTTGATTTTTTTCTGCATGAAGTGGACATTTGTGGTCCATGTTTCCATTTAGGGTTTTGTTTTAAAAGAAAGTAACAATCGGGTGGTGTGGTCCCTGTTTTAGAAAAAGTGCCATGGTTGACCCATTTAAAAACATTTAAAAACCCCATGTTAATCGTTGGAATACATGTCAGCATCCATAAAAAATGTTGCTTTTTTTATTGCTTTGTATTGTTTAACCCTTTCAAAGTCTGTGGCTTCATGGTTTAATGATAGGTTTGGTTTTTTGGTTTTGACAGATGTCCGAATACATAGTGATTGTTTATCATCACGGTGGTATTTTAGTCAGAGATGAAGACGGAGTGATGGCCTATATAAATGGAAGGGTGGACTCATTGCCAGAGATGGACATTGACTACTGCAATATTCGTGACCTTGACACCATGTTTAAGCAATATGGGTATGAAAAATGCAAGAGGATGATATGGCTACAGCCTGGGGTACCCGATTTGGAACAGGGGCTCAGACCTCTTAGTACAAATTCGGATGTGTGTGTCATGTGTGAGGCTGCTCTAGGGAATGACAATGAGATACATGTCTACTTTGATGACTGCATCTCAATTCCGGAGTTTGCTTCACCTACACATGACAGTGAAGAGGATAATGTCATTAATTCAGCACATAACAGGGACCATGAAGAGGTTGATGATAGGGTCAATTCACATGAAGGGTGTGCACAAGGTGATGATGGGGTCAAAGAAAATGAAGACCATGCACAGGCTGCTGATGACCTGAATGCATAAGGTGATGATGGAATGAATTTGGATGAAGACCATGCAGAGGCTGCTGATGACCTGAATGCACAAGGTGATGAGGGAATGAATTCGGACCATGATGAAGACCATGCACAGGCTGCTGATGACCTGAATGCACAAGGTGATGATGGGATCAATTCGGACCATGATGAAGACAGTGTAGAGGATGATGGTAATGGGTCTGAAGATGATAATGCAGATGATGACCATGCTTCCTCACACTCAGATTCATATGAGAGTGTAGAGGATGAGGTTTACGAGCCTCCCCCACCTGGTGTTGAGGATGATTCAGAAGATAATGATGATGATATAAATATGGCAATGGTAGAGAAAAAAAGGCCTACAAAACAGACCCCAAGGAGGAAGGCAGTCAAGAAGGATGCCCCAATTCAAGACTCTGAATCTAAAGAAGTTGATGAAGAGAAAGCCATGATGTCATTTGAGGAAGAAGGATATACCTATCTGCCCGAGGAGTTGAGGACTCCTCCTTCAAGTGATGATGATGAGAATGTTAGACCTGTTTTGCCAAAGTTCAATGAACAAGCTTCTTTTGGGCATGTCTATTAAGAACTTGGTATGGAGTTTATGAATCTGGACCAATTTAAGTGTGCAGTAAAAGATTATAATATCAGTCTTGGGAGGAACTTCATATGGGTTAAGAATGAAAAGGTCAGAGTAAGGGCCAAATGCAGTGTAGAAGACTGTGAAGGGATGGTGTATTGTGCCTAGAACAATAAGCAAAGCACATTCCAAGTTAAGACTTTTAACGAGACTCATACATGCTGCAGAGTCTTCAAGAATAAAAGGGCTATAAGAGATTGGGTGGCCAAGAAATTGGAGAAGAGAATACTAACACAACCCAAGATGACCAGGACAGAGGCATTTGAGCACATGAAGGAGGAATACAATGTTCATTTGGATATGTAGAAAGTAAGTAAGGCTTTGAAAAAAGCAAAGGGGATCATTGAAGGTTGTGAGAAGGAGCAATATGGAAGACTAAGAGGATATATGGCTGAGCTGTTGAGGAGCAACCCTGGCTCCAGTTGCAAATTGCAAGTCACCCCCCAACCTATTCCACAAGCATTGCCAATATTTGACAGAATGTACATCTACCTTGATACTTGTAAGAAGGGCTTCAAAGCTGGATGCAGGCCCTTAATTGGGTTGGATGGATGCTTTTTGAAGGGCTATTATGGAGGTCAATTATTGAGTGCTGTGGGTGAATATGCAAACAAGCAATTCTATGTGATTGCATATATCGTGGTTGATAGTGAGACAAAGGATAATTGGGAGTGGTTTCTGACATTATTACAAGAAGATTTAGGGGATCATGCAGTATTTGGTTGGAACTTCATTTCGGATCAACAAAAGGTAAGGCTTTTTTGCTTGTGTTTCCAATTATTTATTTTACATAGAATTGCCCTATTTAATGGTATATTATGTCAGCACTTAATTTTTGCAAGCTAATTGATGTTTGTTCTGTTTATTGATCAAGCAATTATCTGTTGTTGGCAATGTGTTTCACTGCTGTCATTGATGTTAATGATCTTGTTCTGTTGTTGATCAAGCAATTATCTATTGTTGCCAATGTGTTTCACTATTGTCATTGATGTTAATGAACTTGTTTTGTCGTTGATCAATCAATTCTCTGTTGTTGCCAATGTTTTTCATTGCTTTCATTGATGTTAATGAATATTTTAGATTTCCTTGTGAACATGTTTGTTCTGGTTGCTATCATTGATGATCCGAAATTATACAGTATACGTGTGTTCTGTTTGATTTGTCCATGTAGTGGTCTTCTGTTGCCTTGCTGTCATTTATCATCCATCTGCTTTTTAATGACCTTGACAAGTCCTCCACAAATTTTATCAAAAACCATTTTAGTCCTTTTTTTTAACAAAAGGAACCATATTGGTCCCTAACATTTTTATCGGGGGTACATATTGGTCCCTGCTGCAGATCTTTTAACATGGGCACTTAACACACCAGCACTGTCATTTCCCCTTGTACATGCTGATATTAATCATGCTGATACGAGATTGTATTTTAATTTTTTTTTGTCGTTCACATACAGGGACTTGTCCCAGCCTTGAAGGAAATTATGCCAAGTTCACACCACAGGTTCTGTGTACAACATGTATGGAAGAACTTCATCAAGCAGTGGAAGGATAAAGAGACAAGAGGAATTGTATGGGAATGTGCTAGATGCACCACTGTTCCCAATTTGAGAAGGTCATGCAAAGGCTGAAGACTCTAAACGAACCAGCTTGGAAGTATCTTGACAATATACACCCTTCATATTGGGTTAAGGCCTATTACAGTCACTGGCCTAAATGTGACAACATCACGAATAATATGGTTGAGGTGTGGAATGCAAAGATTGTGAATTATAGGGACAAACCTATAATGACATTGTGTGAGGAATTGAGGTGCTACATAATGCGAAGGATGGCAGCACACAAGAGGATTCTACAAACCTTTAGGGGTAAGATAGCACCTGCACAGTAGAAGAGGCTGGACCAGTTGAAGGTTGGAAGAAATTCTTAGACACCAACATGGACTGGAAACTTGTTCCAAGATCTCTATGAAGTATCTGGAAAGGGTCAACGTGTTGGGGTGAATTTAACTCAACAATCTTGTAGTTGTAATGTTTGGCAGCTTACTGGATTGCCTTGTGAACATGCCATTGCTGCCATTGCACACAAGAATGAACCTGTGGAAAATCATGTTCACCAATGGCTGACAGTGAATGCTTTGCATGCCACTTATGAACACACTCTCAACCCAGTCAATTCCCAACAATATTGGCCAGCTTGTGATGCCCCAAAACCACTTCCTCCACGCTTTAAAAGGCCTATTGGACGTCCAAAAAAGCATCGCAAGAAGGATCCCGCTGAAGAGCTTATGAAGACCAACAAGAAGCTTAGAAAGACTTACACAGTTCAATGCTCCAAGTGTGGTGAGACTGGTCATTACCCCAAGACATGTAAAGGACCTGCTGGTGGATCAAAGAAAAAACCTAAACCGGTTAATGTTGAATTGGCCAGTCAAGGACAGTTGAAGAAATCATCATGAGCATGAGTCAGGGCTGCCCTCCACCAGAGACAAGCAGCCAGCATGCACCAAATGTAGTTGAACCAAGAGGCAGCAACCCACCACCATGCAATCCTGCTGAGGCAGTGACCAGTGAGACAGCAGCTGCAACTAGCAGTGGCACCAGAGCCAGATTCATGGGCTTCATGACTACACCAGGATTCAGGCCACCTAGGCCAGCCCCACATAACTGATTTGGAATTGTAATCACTGACATTAGGCCAGTTCGAATGTGACAGTTGGCATTTTTTTATACTTATTAGGCCAGTAGCTTGGAATTGTAATTAGGCCAGATTTTTGGTATTAGTTTGGTATTAGCCCTGTTTAAATTATTCACTAATGGCTTTTTTTTGTATGCCTATGGTTATGGCCATATTAAGTATGAACACTTTGTTTTTTGGGAAGACAAAGTGTTCCTACTTAATGGTTTATTATGTCAGTTGGAATTGTAAGTACAAAGTGATGATATCAATGGAATATGTTTTTTGGATTACTAAATATCTTATGTCATTACTATTTTTCATTGTTGTCATTGTTGTGAAATGAATGGAAGATTATGTCAGTTTGGTTACTATCTGTATTCACTGTCATGACTGTATTCAATACTGTGAAACAATACTATTTTTTGTTTATGTCATTACCATCTCTTTGGCAGATTTCTTGTCCTGCTTATATTTTGTATTCTGTGTCATTTTGGGGTCATATGTAAACATACCTGAACTTAGCACATTGGTCCCTGTTATATACTTTATAAGTCCTCCACAAATTTTATCGAGGACCATTTTAGTCCCTGTTATTTTTCACAGTTGGCCACATTGGTCCCTAACAAATTCATCGGGGCCCAAATTAGTCCCTGCTAAACATGACAGTAAGACCAATGCCACAAAAAACTGTTACCACAGAAAGCTCATTCCCCCCTTCTGTATAATTCCCTTCATCCTTGTTGTTAGTGTTCAAACAGTCTTTTGACTTTTTAATTGGCATTTCCAGATAACTTAACACTTAGCAGATTGTGCTTTAAGAACAATTAAGTTCAAGGACATTAACCAAATTATATACATTGCATGAACAACATCTCATTACATCCCAACAATGGTCTTTCCATTACAGAGAAGCATGCATATTACAGATTAAAAATGAATATTTCACTCCACCCTACTACAAAGATATAGACATATTACAAAGACAATGATAATGGATCCAGCAAAAACCCTAGCACACCTACACACATGCATCATTTCCTTCTCAACCCTTTCAAAGTGTTCGTGCATCTTCATTGATATGTCTTCAATCTTTATACAGTGCTCATTAATCTTCTTTTTGTGGTCATTCACCTCCAGCTGCAGTTCATCATTGAGCTTCATGTCCAAAAATTTCAACTTGAACTCCATTTCAGCTACATTCAACTCTAGCTTGTTAATTGTCCAATCTTCCAGCTCCATGGTATCAGATGTAGCATCATCCACCCATGTAAAAAAGTTACAGTGTGGCTTCTTTTCCTAAACCAAATTCAACTATACAGTTAATAAGATTGACATACCAAAAATAACGCATGAAAGAATCAACCTCACCTTGAAGTTGGGGCCCCCGAAAAATGATCTATTAGGGTTTCTAGGTGTCTTGGAGGTGTAAACAACATTGTGCCTCCCACATTTACACAATGGAGCAGCTCTCCTTCTTCCACTTCTGAACCTAAATGAACTACTTGAGCTCCCCTTTCCAGAAGACATAACCATGGCATAAAAACAAAGAACAACCCTAAATCGAACAGTATGCACCCACCTTCCCTACACCGTCAATCAATTTTCCCCAAATTCATGCGTTCAACCTTCGATTCGATGCCATGATTTCTGGTTTAAGTTGAACCCTAACAAAAAAATGACGGTGTTTCTTGGATGAAAGAGAACTGGTGTGTCCAACGTGGATGAGTTTCAACAAACGACGTCGTTCTTCCAATACACGTGGGCTTCAGCATGTCACTTAACGTGACACATAATCACCGTCATTCACACTGTCACTTTTGGATTGACAGAAGGACTAACATGAGTCATGTTTCACATTGTTGGGGACTATTCAATGAGTTTAATTTTCTTAGGGCTAATTTGTCTACCGCATTTTTTGTCAGGGACCAATTTAGGTCTTTACTCTAGGATTAATATCTTTGATAAATATCCTCCTTTGATTATATCAAGTTTTTATTTAGATTGCCCCTTATTGGGCATTATATTAAATGAGCCTCTCATATGAGTCCATAACAGTTGTCCTTCAGCCAAGCAATCTGGGTATCCGGGCTACTGGGGTGCATATAGCTTTAAAAATCATCCGGACTTCAAAAGGTTTTAATACCTATCTGGGTATCAAAAAATTTCCTGGGTTTCTCACGGTGAAGCATCCGGGTTTACATTCATAATTATTCGGATTCCCATTTAGGAGTATCAAGGTTTATTATATTAGTTCTAAGGGATAATGTATAT